TATTTCGTTCGTAAACTTATTCTTCTATTAGCATGAACTTTATTTAGCAAATTTCCTCAACTTCTAATTCATTTTTGGCACTATATACTAGGAGTGTACAAATCGAACCGAAAAATCGCATCAAATCGAAAAGTCAAACCAAACCGATTAAAAAACCCGACTTCGTTTGGATTTGATTTGGTTTGGTATTGAGTAAAAAAAAACCCGAACCAACCCGACATATAAATATATAATTTTTATATATACTTTTAAGATTTTATATAGAATTTTCTTTAAAAAATATCTAGAAATATTTGGATTCTCTTGTGGGATATAAATTTTAATAGAATATGAAATGCTCCATATTTATCGACCTTAAATAATGGATTGTATGATCACTTTCTTATCATGTGTTACTGAAATGCGTCTATCTCTTTGTTCTTCCATATTCATATCATATGTTAAGATCTATTAAATTCTTATATCTTTTTCGAATGTGATGTGATTATTAATATTTAGGTATCATATTGATTTTTATGTTTTATTACTAAATTCGGTTAACCTGAAAGTGTATATCAACGAAAAATTATTATCAGACGACTAAAAAAATAACTATTACGTGTTACTAATAGAATTCTCCCATAAGAATATTTTAATCGATAATATGTTTGTCAATTTTTTATATATTTACTAAATATATATTTATTTATCAAATATTTAACAAAGTAAGATTGAAATAATATGTAAGTAACAAAAAAATCCGAAAAACACAACAAAACCGAACCAATCCAAACCGATATAGTTGGTTTGGTTCGGTTTCGATAAAAATCGAACTAACCTGGTCCATGTACACCCCTACTATAAACAACAACAACAACCTAATGAACGAAAGCCTATGGGGTCGCTTCTGTAACTGGATAACCAGCACTGAAAACCGTCTTTACATTGGATGGTTTGGTGTTTTGATGATTCCTACCTTATTGACGGCAACTTCTGTATTTATTATTGCCTTCATTGTTGCTCCTCCAGTAGACATTGATGGTATTCGTGAACCTGTTTCAGGATCTCTACTTTACGGAAACAATATTATTTCCTGTGCCATTATTCCTACTTCTGCAGTTAGTTATTGGTGGGGGTTCGGTTCGTTAGCTGGTATTTGTTTAGTCATTCAGATAGTGACTGGCGTTTTTTTAGCTATGCATTACACACCTCATGTGGATCTAGCTTTCAACAGCGTAGAACACATTATGAGAGATGTTTAAGGGGGTTGGTTGCTCCGTTATATGCATGCTAATGGGGCAAGTATGTTTTTCATTGTGGTTCACCTTCATATTTTTCGTGGTCTATATCATGCCAGTTATAGCAGTCCTAGGGAATTTGTTCGGTGTCTCGGAGTTGTAATCTTCCTATTAATGATTGTGACAGCTTTTATAGGATATGTACTACCTTGGGGTCAGATGAGCTTTTGGGGAGCTACAGTAATTACAAGCTTAGCTAGCGCCATACCTGTAGTAGGAGATACCATAGTGACTTGGCGCATACGCGGGAACGGGCCCCCACTACTTCTTCATTCAGGGGGGAGGGGGGGAGACTAGCCTCATTACTTCCCACTGGGCGAGAGGTGCACCTAACCCACCTATCCACTCATCAATCACGGTGTTCAGCTGACTTGCACTGATAGACCGTTCACAAAGACTCTGTGGCTAAAAAGTAAAAAAGATATATCGAAGTAGTTCTGATGATTCAATAATCTTATTACTTCAATCCGAAGTTCTTAGTTACTTCGACTGGATGAATCCTAGCGAGGGAATAATTAATCACAAGTGGGGTTTGAGGAGGGCAAAATGTACGCAGCTTTACCCTACCCTGGGAGGGCAGAGAGACTGTTTCCGATAGACCCTCGAGTAAAGAAGATGGAAGAAGCACTGATAGCAATTCATAGCAAGATCATATATTAGGAAAATAAATTGAAGATAACTATAAAAAGTATAAAAGAAGTACCTATAGCAAGTAATAGCAAGACAATATATTTAGAGAAACTAAATCCAAGCTCTGATAGCAATAAAGAATATGAAAGGAACGCTGATAGCAAACTAAGAAAGTACTGGTGACAAGTAATAACAGAACAAGATATGCGAAAATAGCAAACTAGGACAAAAGGGTATCATACTAGCACTAACACTAACGAACTATTGAAGACAAAGGGAAACACACGACTACCTACTAACCTTCTATCATAATCATCAACCTTCACACCCTCCTATCTAGGGTCACGTCCTCGGTTAGCTCAAGCTGCGCCATGTCCCGCCTGACCACCTCTTCCCAAAATTTCTTTGGCCTACCTCTACTCTTCCTTATATCCCCCAAGGCCAACCTCTCATACCTTTTGACTGGGGCATCTGTGTTTCTCCTCTTAACATGCCCGAACCATCTCAGTCTCGCCTCTCGCATCTTTTCCTCCACAGGGGTCACTCCCACCTTGTCCCGAATAACTTCATTCATAATTCTATCTAACCTAGTATGCCCACACATCCATCTCAACATCCTCATTTCAGCTACTTTCATCTGCTGGATGTAGGAGTTCTTGACTGGCCAGCACTCTGCCCATACAACATAGTCGGTCTAACTACTACCTTGTAGAACTTACCCTTAAGTCTTAACGGCACATTCTTATCGCACAAGACACTGGAAACGAGCCTCCACTTCATCCACCCTCCCCCAATACAATGTGTGACATTCTCATCAATCTCCCCATCATTCTGGATTATAGATCCCAGATACTTGAAACTCTCTCTCCTGGGAATGAATTGCATATCAAGCCTTACATCCCCGTCCGCTTCCTGCGTAGCACCGCTGAACTTACACTCTAAGTATTATATCTTGTTCCTGCTCAACTTAAAACCCTTATACTTAAGTATTTTTGGCACTATATGACGACAATTATTTACCACTACCAGAACTATCATTCGGTAGTTTATAATATCTAACATTAGTTTGATCAAACTTAGCATACATCGTGAAATGTTCAAAATTAGACAAAAGTTCAGGATACAGTAGAAGATTAATTTATACGGCGCTTGTTAAACTTTCCAATTGTCATATATGAAAATTTTCAATATTTAGTAGGCGTTTGGACATGAATTACAAATTTTTTTTTCAAATTTGGAATTTTACTCAAATTTGAATTGAAGATGAAGTTGTGTTTGGTTATAATTTTTGCAATATATTTGGATGTTTTTTTTTTTCAAAATCATGAAACATGATTTATACCTCACAACTTGTAAAAATATCAAAACCACCCCAATTTTATTATCCTACTTGAAATAAACAATCAAAATGCTATTGTTTAACTGTTATCATATTCTGATTTACTGCAATACACAGAAGATGCAAAATCAACTAGGAATGATGTTCCACCATCAATCGCCAAAGATGTATCTGCCAAAAGATAAAAAATTGATGGGGTCATTTTTATAAAATTTAAAAATATAGGGTAAATTGGTAAAATTAAAAACTAGCAAATTCCCATTTTCAATTGAAAAAGTGGTGAAAACCAGTTTTTTAAATTTGAAAATGGATTTTCAAGTGAAAAGGGAAAAATTGGTAAGAATAAGATAACCAAACATTGTTAAAAAAAAAAAAAAAAAAAAAAAAAAAAAAAAAAAAAAAAAAAAAATTGAAAAAAGGAAAAATTTTATATGTCCAAACGGGCTCTTAATGTGCTTACAGTTTTGCATATAGTTTGGGTTAAGCTTTCAACTGACGTCCAACAAATTGAGGGTTTATCAGTTTTCTTAAAAGAGAAAATTATCTACAGCGAATTCATTCGCGAAAAATGATATCCAATTAAGGTTGTGTTTGGTACGACGGAAAATATTTTCTCATTTTCCACCGTTCGATTGCACAAATTAGTTTGAAAAATATTTTCCTATTTATCACATTTTCCTGAAATTGGAGGAAAATGACTTCCATAGAAAAAATTAGGAAAATATTTTCCAAAAACTCCACCTACCCTCACATCTAACCCCCTCCAACTTCAGTTTTCTGTTTTTCTATTTTTTTTTTGCACCACCCATCCACTCCAACCATGTCACACCACCCCACCCCACCCCTCGCAAATTTTTTTTTTCATTTTCATTTCTGTTTTCTGTTTTCTGTTTTTTTTTTTTTTTTTTTTTGGCACAACCCATCCACCCCCGGCAAAAAAAAAAAGTATACCTTTTTCTTTTTGTATGTTCAATTTCAGTTTACAGGTTTGAAATTTTACGAGTTCCAGAGTTATGAGTTCGGAGGTTTATCTGTTTAGAAGTTTGCGGGTTTAGAAATATAGAGTTTACGGGTTAAAAAGTTTGCGGGTTCAAAAGTTTAGTGGTTTCTGAAGTTTATGAAATTTGTAGGTTCGGAAGGTTGTTGGTTCGAAAGTTTATAGCTTCATGTTTATTGTATCTAAATTATTTATGAATACTCTTGAGAAGTTATTTTCCTTAATTTGCGTACCAAACACCGAAAAATGAGTAAGATTACTACTTATTTTCCAAGAAAAAATATTTTCTTGAAAAACATTTTCCCCGAAAAATAATTGTCGTTATACCAAATACACCCTAAAACGAAAGAAAAAAGGTACAGAGCAAATTTCCTGCAATACAGACTAGATAAAACTTTGCAAGGAGTTGCATAATCACGAAAAATGGTATTATATGATCTATTTTCATACACATCTTACTTTTACTATTAATTCGGGGGTTACTCCACGTAGACGTACTGCTTGATGAAAGACAAATAGTGCATTTGTTTATTTCTATTGTTGAATCTTTTTCACGGCTTGATAGATAATTTGATAAGCCAATAATTTTTTTCATATTTCAAAATAGGGTTAATCAACATTTAACTAATCGATTACGATAAATTGGATTGGATTTTGCTAGTTTTTTTTCCCTGCAGTACCTCAACGTGACATGAACGCGAACCCTTGACATGCATCAGCAATATCATACAACATATCCATTTTGTATCTACATCTCTAAATATGAAGATTCTTGTCAGGACCCAAAGATGCTTAAACACAGGAGGCAGCAAAACAGCATCAATTGGGGTGATCTTTATTCCGATAAATACTCTGCCCCCTGTAGTACCACATAAGTTAAGGCTGTATGACAAACTTAAAATCGCACTTTTAAGATATGCTTCTCATGTAAAAACACTGCCAAAAAACAATGTACTGTAATTTGTGATTCTAATGAACTCCAACTATTTGTCAATAGTAGATTTAACTCAAAACCTTGCTTGTCAATAATCGATGATTCGCCAGTCGCTCTCATTCAGAAGAATATCCAATAAAGTCCTGCTCCTATGCTCTGCGATTGAAGAGAGATGTCAAATAGAGGAAATGGAGTTAATACGAATTTATTCAAATGCAAGCAAAGAATATTAACAATGAAGAGAGATGGATAGCAGTAACAAATGCTGAAACAGACGAGGAACAAGGTAACCATTCACTCACCTGCTCATGTAAGAGTTGTCGGTGGTGTTAACGATAATCTTGTCCCCTTCTAAGATATGTTTTGGTACCTAGAAAAGGGATAACATGTAAAGAAGGAAGTCAAGAACATGCACAGCTACTTCAACTCCATGAGATAGATATTGCTCGATATACATAATTCACATTTCCCAGAATGAACTATGTTAGATAGTTATGTGTAAATAATCCTAGTCCCATATTTAATAGGAATAGAATATGTCCTAATCCCATATGTAGTAAGAGTAGAATATATCCTAATCTCATATGTAGTAGGAGTAGAATAAGTGTTATATATAGGGCTCATTGTATCATTGTTAAAACATAGATTTTTCTCAAGGTGTGAACAGTAATTTCCAGAAAAGTTTCTGTTTTCTGATGGTGTTTTAGAACCTATATTATAGTGTGGAATTCGACTTAGTCTCACTATTTTCAAATTTTTCCGGCGACCTTTCGGCCAACTTCTACTTATCAGCAACCACTTGATTTTATTACTCAGGGGGAGTCTAGTGACCTTGTATGTCGAATGATCAGCTTGCAAATATTTTCACCAAGTCCCTCACTGGTCCTCGTATTAGTTACATATGTAACAAATTCGGTACATATGATTTGTATGCACCGGATTGAGGGGGAGCATTAGATAGTTATGTGTAAATAGTCCTAGTTCCATATGTAGTAGGAGTAGAATATGTCCTAGTCCCACATGTAGTAGGAATAGAGTATATCCTAGTCTCATATGTAATAGGAGTATTATATGTATTATATATAGGGCTCATTGTATCATTGTTAAAGAATAGATTTTTCTCCCGTGCATGCTCACAAACTACATGATTTAGCAGATATCAAATCATTCAATCATCGCTATGCAAAAATTAGGTAATACTTGCAAAGGTCAGAGAAAGATGTGGAAGAGACAGCACTGACACATCCAAAATAAAGAAAAGAACTTAAAACGTTTGTGTTTTCTCTTTCCTTCTTTTCTAATGAGGTGGGAGGAAGCTTATGGCAACTATTGCTTGGAATTCAAAGTGAAGCAGTTCCCAAGAAACATACCAACATCAACCCCCAGCACTTCCTCGAAAAGTTGAAAATGAACAAAAATTAAATGAGGGGACACCCCAGAATATGCTACAATCTTAATTCACGATACAACTGTTGGCAAATTAATGCTACAATTTACCTGCACAGTGACACCATTGTCCAACAAAACCTTCTTATACCTATCAATGGAAAAGATTACAAATTATTTCTATCAGAGAGAAAATAAATAGAAAATAGCAAAACCTTCTTTATCTGCAGCGATGTGACTGTAGTCAATCAGAAAGTGCCATTAATTACAGGCATAATTTACCAGACAAACTCAGGTGTTCTTTCAATTACATGAGAAAACAATCATAAGGATGAGAAGCTAACATACTGTGGAGTAGCTGACGCCCTCATGGGTATTTCGGATTCAGCAACAGTACATGTTACTCGTGTAGGAATTGATGCAGACATTGCTCTTCCATCATACATTTGCACACTGACTTTCATATCATCTGTTAAGAATATAATTTTTCATCTTTTAGCACAATTACAAACATGTCAAAACAAAGTTGACCAATCAAAAAAAAAAAAGAGCAGAGAAGAAAGTTATAGCAGCAATAATGCTAAAGAAGAAAGCGTGCTAACTTCATGGGAAATATGTTGATAGTCAAGAAGGAAATAAAGGAATGTAGTTATAACCCCCTCCGCCAACAGTTGTTAGGGCAGAGGAAAATAGAGGAAAAAAAGGAACATTTGCATATAGAACATCAATAGGAGCTACTATGACAAGGCACAGACATACAACATTAAGACGGGAAAGTTAAATATTTGATGACTTATTTTTCACTGCTGGTATCACTCTTGATAAGGAATTGAGATGAATAATATACTGTCAAAAGGACGATCTCAGTAACATAGAGCCCAAGGTTAAAGGCGAAATAGTCGTACTTCATTTCTCATTCATAAAAATCTATCTATAAAGTGGTTCCACCAGTTGCCTACCATTAATAAGCAAAAGTCAACAGACACGAAACCCCTTTGCATAAGTTGTGCTATCATTAAAATATTAAACGACAAGTAATGCAAAATGGGCGAGTCGGGTCGGATATGGATGGGGCGAAAACGGGTAATGCAAAACGGATAAATTATTCAATCCGACCCGTATTTAATACGAATAGAAAATGGGTTAACCAGCGGATAATATGGATATCCATATTATCCAAGACTTCTTAAATATGATCACTTTTCGAAAATTCCTAATCTCCCAAACTTGAGGAACCCACAATTTGAGTCTTGTTAAACGTAAAAGTTAAACCCATTGGTTATCTATTGGTTATCCATTTTTTAAGTGAATAATATGGTTCTTATTCATATTTGAACTATTTTTAAAAAGTTCATTATCCAACCCATTTTAAGTGGATAATATGGATGGATAACCATTTTTTTATGCATTTTGCCACCACTATTTTGTGACCGTGCCTGACAACATGATGTTGGAAATATTTCCTCTACAATCAGTCAGTACCTCTTTGAACATACTCATCAAAGAAGTAGAAAAAGTATTATTTCTAGATGAGCACACAAGGGTATACACTAGTGGTTAATGAAGTAGAAGGAGAACCATGTTCAAATCCCAGCAGAGGGCATTGTAAGTTTGTAACATGGAAGCTACTAAATAAATGCTACAATTCGACTAATACCATACTAAAAAGCTACCTCAAGTTCCACACATAGCATGGAAAAGTTGATTATGTAATGTGGGCTGTGTTAAGACACGCGGTAAGGATACAAGTTCAAAAGGAAGTGACAGAAGCGAACAGCATGGGAAGTAGTTCCCATAGCATTTCTTAGGATCGTATGAGCAAGAAAAATCTAAGAACATATGGGAAAGTCGAGGAGTCCTTTTTTTGATAATTAAATAAGTAGATTTTATGCAATACAAAAGAAAGTCGAGGAGGAATTCATGCAATACAAAGGAAAGTCTAGGAGTTCTTTTCACAAACTAGTGAAAAAACTTGTGTTTTTTCTAAAATTGGGGGACAGATGATTTTTTGCTTTTTATACAGAATCACCTTTAAATATGAAGATTTTCCATTTTTGAACGCATCTTGTACAGGGAAGATTTTCTCCTCTTTTGTCCGGATAAGCAAGACAAATTTTTTCTTTCAGTGGTATATGCAAGACATATTGTATTGAGCACAAAGACTGTGCATGAGTATTTACAACAGGTTACAAAAAACTTAGCCCCATTCACTGTAGGAGACTGAGCAAGAACAGCCATAGCTGTGATGCCAAGGGGCAATGTATGAATAGGTGAACCAAGAAATCCCAATGGCCAGTGACACACGGTTTAAAACTCGATGGATAAAGTCCACCACTCTACCATTCTCCAACTTAAATACCAGGGTTTTATATGCTGCAGGGTTCAAAAATATTAATAGGTGGTAGACATCCTCAGATTCATCGGCACAAATGTGACATCTATTGTTATTGTACCAACCCCCTCCTCTACTATAGCTTATGTTGGGAGATAGCAGCTTCATAAGACGATCCAGCAAAACATGCAACTTTATATGGGCTTTGCTTCTCCAAATCTTCTTCCAAGGACAATATGATGTTATTCTCAGTGGAAAATCAGAAACTTGTTGAAGGAGCTAACAGTAAAAACTCCACTTTTCTATCGCTTCCAATTAAGAGAATCTGGAATTTCAGATAAGAATTGTACAGTCTCCACATTATAGTAATTGTCCTGATTAGCTACCCTGCCTGCCCATGAAGAACTTCAAGTCCATCGGGAAAGGATGCGGCGGTAACTCCGCAGCTGTCTAGAACCCTCCAATCATTATAGCTCCTCCTAAAATTGACTATCCCAACCCTGCTCTGTTTTGTATTGAACCACCGAAGCTCAGTACACAGGGATATGTTATAGAGTATGGGGATCAAGTTCTTGATAGGTGTACCAGGCATCATGCCAAACCCCAGTTTAGCTTGATCTTCTAATTCATCGCACAAACATCTAATGTGTTTCCGCACACCCCCACATAGTACATGTTTATAAGGGACATGCCCCCATCATTCTGTGAGCGTAACATCTCTCTCCTTCAGCACTTCTGTCCATAGCACTCCATCAGACTGACCAAATCTCCATTACCATTTGCCCAACAGGCTTTTCTTCTGCCCCTTTAGATCCTTCACTCTCATTCCTCCACCTCAGTCAATAAAATTACTTTTAAAAAAAACTTCCAGAAAATCAAATGACGGGTGATATTTGTCCAAGCTTGACAATTACCTACTTGAAATTCAACGATACCAATCCACGATCCATGTGATGTTTTTATGTTCAAATTCCATGCAATCTGGATGAGTTCTCTCTATTATATCTTTTTTGAAGTGGAAAATAGCACAATGGAAAAAGAAAATTTTAGAAAGGAAAGGGAAAAGAAAAATATATAGAACTTTTAACAGGGAAACATGCACCAGCACTTTGTTAGAACAATTTATGCATTCTATGTAGGTGAATTGTGCGCATCCCATATTAGAAATTTCAAAAGCTAATTCCCATCTTCCTTAGCAAAGTTATGGTGTCCCAGACAGTATTACCAAAATTTGAAAAACTTTCATGAGTTATATCTTTTACTAAATAATACATGAATTTGTTCTCGACAATCGTCCTCAGCTTTAATGGTTGACAATAAGGATCTTGCAAAGTTTTGGAAAGACATCAGTAATAGCACAACATAAATATAAAAGCATATGAATATAAGGTACAATTAAATAGATATATCTAATCTTAAGCAGATGACACTACATAAGAGTACCTTGAAGGTAGACATGAGATTCACCAAACAAGTGTTTTGGTACATCTAGTTGCTCATAGGTCTTAGGCCTGCATAGGATTGAAAAAGATGAAGAATGGACTGAGATACAGTTTTACTGATATACATGTATCTGATAATGTCTATGTACAAAAGTCATTCAAAATCAGGAAGTGCAGACTTAAACTCACTCCATTAGCACAATGTTTCCGGTTTCATCATCTGTATACAGGTACGTGAAACTCTTTTCTGTAACAAATACTCCTGCACATGCAAGACCAACAATGTCAAAATGCATTTGAAATTCGCATAGTATAGCTAATGGAGTCAAGCGAAACAGGCCAGTCATCTACAGCAAAGACTTGGATGTAGTTAAGATGACTACTCAACATATTAGAAAAGTTGCCTCATGCAACTCAAAATATCGTTGAGGTAATTTACAAGATTGGTTCCCATCTCTAAGTGACTTCTTCGTAAGCAAGGATAAACCAGTTAGTATGTACCACATGGATCTTATTGTCCATACATTCCGAATAAATATGTACGTGCTATTACAATATACCATAATGAATCATTTGAGAAAATGATTTACCTCAAAAGGGATCAAAGGTATGAAATGATGTTATCGTGTTAACATCATTTATAATGCACTAAATACAACTTGTCAAACATTCTTGTCAAATCAATTTACGGCAAAAGCACTACACTTCTAGGTGCCTACCTCTCAGGGAAGGCAAGTGTGTCCCTCTACTTCTATAGCCAAAAAACATTGCAAGCTTAGGATTCAACCTTCAAAGATCAAATTGTTTCCTTCAATGAGCCTAAGCTCACACAAGAAAATGAAAAACCTTAAATTACATGGCACAGACCCCTAAGAAAGATGCATAATATATTGCACGAGACAAGTTACACAACAAATATGATGGATGAGTTTTTGCAACCAGAGATGTGAAAATTCATACTTTCAACAGGTTCATCTGTACGAAATCTTTCATTAGACTTGCTTCCACTATCAACATCACGGAGCTCCACCTAAAATGATTTGGAAAAGAACAAAGGTAAGTAAAGCCTGCATCATTGCCTTCTACTCCAAATATATAATTTTATTTTCTCTTAGAAATCCATAATTTAACTGAAGTAAGTCTTACATGATAATTTCTTTTCTACGGTACAAGGGAAGCAACTATTGGCTTGAGATAAGAACTCAAAAGTGCATGTGACATGACCCTATAAACATCAAAGAAAGTAAGCACAAGCCTCAAAAAGCATAACCAATACAACATGGGCCATCGGACAGCACAAAATTGGACAACTCTGGGAATAAAAAATGGCCGACAAGAAAATCTTCCATATTCAGCCGGCTTAAAGCCGCCTTCAAATGCTAGGTGCTTAGCAGGAAAACTAGAAACAATCTATGAACCTAGATGCAAGCCTAGATTCATCAGCTGTAGTGTTTGGTTCTAGCCTAGACAAAAATTGCCCTGTATCCATGTTAAATTTGGCTAGAGCTTTATCATCAGCTTTACATTGCCTACTGTAATTAAGGTTATCCAGATGGATGGATCAAATGGAAGCAAAAGCAACCAAGTTTAGTTCATGAAAGATAAATATGACAGAAGGTCAATGGGAAAAAGCTAAAATAATAAATAGTGTCAAATGCTCGTTTGATGCTATTTGCACATATTTGCTTAACATTCTTTACTTATCCAAAAAATCATATGTGATTATATAGAGCGCATAATCACATAAGATCAATGATCTGAAGGTGTAATTTCAAGTTCTTGTTGTTTATCAGGAATGTAATTTCAAGTTCTTCTGTTCTTGTATTTCACAAAATGGAAGAAGAAAATGATACTGTAAAACCAGAGAAGAATCTCAAAAATAAGAAGAGCCACATTATATGCATGAGACTGAATATCAAACCTGTATAATAGCTCCTCCTCTTCCTTGGGTTGTGTGTTGTGCCTTTACCACCTAAACAATATGTTATTTCATGAATATATTTCGCCTTTAGTTCACTACAAGAAAGCAAAAATTGCATAAAACTAAGGAGAGAGAAAAGACAGCTATTAGCATAAACTAACCTCATAAATCCTTCCTGATAAAATCGATAGCCAAAAGAACACCACATCATTATTAGCCTATATGTATATATACAAAACCATAGTACAGAAATGTTGGCAAGCTAACCTTTTTTCTCAATCACATTTCCTGGCTTCAACTACACCAAAATAAAATGAAGGTGAGCACTTGAAAAATGAGGAACAGCAATAATTAGCTTCGACTCTAACTTAAATTAAGCATAAGTACACCACAGATTTTAATAATTTAATCAATCGACATGTCAATCCCAATCTAATTGAGATCAGCCATATGAATTCGTATATGCACCACTCTTTTTTGGCCTACTCAATAACGTTATTTGATAGGATGAACTGTTCATAGAAGCAAACATATTTCCTCCTATTTTAAGGGGAAAAAATTGAACATTCCCTCTATCTCAACTCATGTGATGGTATTTTTACACCTTTCTATATTCAGAAATAATTTGAACTTTAAATTTTTTATGTTACTGTTAGTGAGATCATTTATAGTCACAGAAATATGTAAGACTTATTTTAGATCATAAGTTTCAAAAATATTTCTTTTTTTCTTAAATTTCGTGCTAGTCAAAACAAATAAGTAATTTTTAACACAATGAACAATAATTACTGGTAGCTAAAATATTAACAGCAAAGTGATTGGAGACGACAACTTACATCGGCGCCGCGAGATTTGGCACCACGAACTTGAGTGGCGGACCACGGCGAAGCAAAGAGAGGATCCTGAGATTCGCGATACGGCGAGGGAAGCGACTGTTTGGAATGAATACAAGTTGAAAGAGCTCTTGAAAACTTTGTGGAAGCGCAGTGAGACGAACCGGATGAAGCTGAAGAAGAAGAAACAGCAGCTGAGTAGAGAGCTCGGGATAGTCTGTTCCTAAGAACTCGCATCTTTTTTCTTCACAGAGGTGGCGGCTTCGGGAAATGGTAATTTGAAGGTTATACTTATTGAGAGGTTAATTAAAGATATTATAATGTGATGTAATTTATAAAAAGAATTACTTACAAAAATACTTGAATTGATTATATTATTTTATTAATATGGTTATCAATTATTCTTTGGAGGAATAAGATTCTCTTCAATTTTATCCCTCACCTTTATATCCATGTCGATTTATTCCTTATTGATGTAGTACTAAAAAGGTGGTGTTGTTTTTCGTATTTACAGTGAAACAATAAATATTTGCTTAAAACAAAGTGCAAATCGCTTGTTTAAGACTCCACTAGTTTTTAGGGTACGCGCGTTGCGCATGTATTTTATATCAATAAATATAAAAATTTTGAAAAATTAAAAAAATATTATATTAAAATTTTTGTTTGAGTTTAAAATTAATGTTAACAAAAGTGTAAGTTTCTAAAAATGATTATTGTTGATTCTATTTAGCTAACTCAATAAAGTAAGAAACTCCACTTATAACTCCTTAATCATCTCATTCAAAAAAAACTGATTAAAGATAGTGTTTTTTTCCCATGACCAAAATGCAATTGTTTTATTTCCTTAACCAATAAAAAATACAACAATAATTATTTTCAACAGATTAAAAAAATGCTATTGCAAATGTATTGGATTGAATTCTTATGTTTTGATTAATCTGCTCTTCCTTCGTTTTGTAATTAGCTTTCTTTCTCTGTCCTAGTACATAACTGTACATTTGAAAATTTCTTTCTATGGAAGTAAGGGGTCGTTTGATACACGGACTAAATTATCCTGGTATTATAGTCCTGGAATTATAATCCCTAGACTAATTTATCCTAGGTGAGAGGTGGGATAAAATAATACCAAGTTTGATGGAATAAGATGGGATAAGATGGGATATCCAGGATTAAGTTTGGGACAAAGATTTTACCATGTTTGGTTGTTGGTATAAATAAATTTAGTATCACACTTTATCTCACCTTATCCCGTGTACAAAACGACTCCTAAGAGCCAAAGATTGTCATGGTATTTCTTAATGTTAATAGATTCTGAAAGCATATATTAATTATGAGCAAAACATGGAGTTTATGTTAAGAAAATTTTAATTTTGGCACATACTATTAGTTATACACTTAACTTGTTCGTAGTCTTATTTACTCACCCGAATTTTATTATTTTATAGTTGATATCCCATGGTCACTGACATGACAAAGCGCATTAACACTCTCTTTTAGGCGTGTGAGTGAAAAAAATAATTTTCAGATAGGATATTTTTCGTCAGTTATCACACAGTCATATACAATATTTTATTGGTATGAATTGTATTTCTTCTTGCTTCTTCTTAATATACAATGCATATCTTATCCCCATTTAATATTATATTTTTAAATTTTTTTATTTGGAAACTATGGCTATGATTCAACTGTGTATTGCTTTTTTGGGGTCAAATTTGTAATAAATCTTAAACTCCATCATTTGAGCCAAATAAAAAAGTTTTATCCAAAATAATGGAGTACCAATAGTGTATTTCTTGTTACTTTTCCTTAGACAAATGAATATTTATTTTAATTGTATATTCTTATTTTCGAGTCAAATTAGTAAAATGAAGTTGGTTGGAGCTCCATTATTTTTTTGCCTAATAAAATATGTACAACCAAAATAATAAAGTTAAAATTGTATACTTTGTTTTTATTTTTCCTTTACATGCAATAACTATTTATTTCATTTCAACTTTTTTTTTTTTTTTGGGGGGAGAAAAATATGTAAATATACTTGCTTAAAGCTTCATTATTTTTTGTCAAAGAAAAAGTTTTAAGCAAAATAATGTAGTACAAACTACGTAATATTCCTTTTTATATATCCTTTAGATGCACTGGCTATTTATTTTAACTATATATTTTTTCTTTTTCAGATAAATTTGTCAACGTTTAGACTGAAATTTTATCGTTTAAACCAAATAAAATAGATATATTTACTTGTTAAATGAAAACTTACCCATCAAAATTTTAAGATATCAATTACTTTCGTTTGAAAGGGAAATAAAGAGGCACAATTGGTAAGAGGACAAAAATTACACAATGTCTTCGTCGGTGTTATTATAAGAAAAGAAACTTGCTTTCTATACTTTTGTACTTTTTAAATATTTTTGTTGTTATTGGGAAAGATATTTAATAGCAAATAAAAAAAAAATAAACAAATACTTATAGAGAAGCAATATTCTCAATTCAGAATAATTTAAAAGGTAAAGAATTTATAGAAAGTAAATCTTATTTGATTTTTGTGTCCTAATTATTTGGACTTCTAACGTGGCAAAACAAATAAGGAAAATTCCAATGAACAATGTTTTAGTTGATTTCAAAGTGTTATATATTAGGAAATAATTATGTGACTATTTGGTCCAATGTAAATCATATTTTAAAGGGGTAAAAAAGGCGAAGGACATTTCGCTAAGGTCCTTCGTGCTTTTAATATAGTACTAGTGTTAGGGTACGCGCTTTGCGCGTGTACCTCATCTCAATGGATATAAATTTTTAAAAAGTTATGTAATTATTATATTAAAACTTCGTGTTTGTGTTATAATAGAAAAAAGTATAAGTTTGAGAATGATGATTGTTGATCATATTTAACTTATCTAATATAAAGGAAGAAACTCTACCCATAGAAGTCCTCGATCATCTCAGTCAATATATCCAACTTAAAATTCATTCCAACATTATGATTTTATTACTTGAATTTCACAAGTTATCATACTTCCTTTTTAATTTCAGTAAGAACACATAATCCGCCAACGCTCAAGAATTTTTCTTAAGCTCGTTGTCATTAGAAAATCAATCTTTTATTAAAAATTTACTGAGTGCAAAATAGTACATCTAAATTTATTTCTTGCTGGTAAGTTGTTGAAATCTGGAATTTTCTACATATATAACCGTCAGGATTCTGCATAATATCAATAGTGTGTATTTTAATGAATATAAAAATAATTTAAATTAACTTCACTAATAAAATAGAAAATTAAAGCGCCAGAGTATTAAGTTATTGAAGAGATCTCATTCCCAACACCAGCACGTATGAAGTCTTCAACTTTAGGAAGAATAGGAAGGACATTTTTCACTTTGAAAAGCGTCAAAAGAGCCAACATTGTTGATTATTTCTAGAAATTTAATTATGCAAGAGTTCATACGTATATGTTTCTTTAAAAAGAAGGCTCATTTCCAAGAAAGAGGATTCATGCAGAATATATATATAAAAAGTAGAAAATTCTACAAGGAAATCTCACAAAGTAACNATATAGAGTATTGATTAAAAACAAAACGTATATATATATATATACATATATATATACATATATATATATATATATATATATATATATATATATAAAGTAAAAAATTCTACAAGGAAATCTCACAAAATAACCTTCTATAGCCAAAAGAGTAGAACAAAAAAGAATCTCAAAGATAAAAGTGCTCAAAATTGTTATTATTATTTTTTAACAAATTCATTTGATCATATCCATTTAAACATTAGTTTCAATCTTGTTTCCCTATTTATACAAAGAGTCCTAAGCTAAAAGGAATTAAAAATCCTCTTTTAGTTTTTGGATGCCTTGTTATTGTTTCTCTTGTTGCCTTCACTAATGTTGAGTTAATATTTTATAAAGATAATGAATAAAACAAAATAGGGAGTTGTTATTCTTTTGAACGAATGCAAAAAAAAAAAAAAAAAAAAAAAAAAA